CCTCCCCCTCCCGATTTAAAAGCAAATGAGTCAATGAGTAAGGAGAAAATGAGTTAAATGATGAATTTATTGACTAGCAAATAGGTATAGTCATGATCGTACTATGGTGGGAAACAGGAAACCGACTGCTTCTGGGCCTTTGATCAAAGAGGACACTTCCAAAGACCCTTAACTTTTTAACTATATGTAACTGTATATATGAATGTAAAAAAGAAGCTAAAACATGGTTTGCATTGAAAGTGTTAAAGTTTAGGATGAAAATGATTTCCAAGAATCAGTCTCTAACTTATGTTTGGCACTAAGCACTTTTTTCGATAATGTTTGTCTCAACTTTTTCTTGCAAGAAAAGCGTTTAAAAGTCGAAGTTAATAAAAATTTCGATCATCAACGAACAAGGTAAACAATAATTTCAGTTTAGGAATAATTTACGAGTTTAACAATAATTTTCCCTGTAAATGCAATAGAAACATTAATTTTGACGAAGCTATAAAACATTTTTCAGAAATCAAACCTCGGAAAAATCAATTTAGATTTTTTAAATTAACATAAAAGTTAAAATGATTTTTTAAATCTTAAAAATATGACTGATGAATAAGCTTTTTAAATTTATGTTTGTTTGCTAGATGTAAGTTTTTTTTTTTTTTTCCTTCAGTCTTAAGATTTTTGGTTTCCTAGATCATTTTAACTGTTTAATTTTATTTTAATAGACATTAATTACATATTATAATTGACATTTTATTCAGTTATCATTCTAATAAGGAGCACATAAGGAGATTTTCACCCTCGGACTGGATGACTCTAGGTCTGCTGCTGGGTCTAGATCATTACATAAAATCCTAAGTATTCTTGAAATAGTTTTGTACTACAATAAAACACTAAGTTTAAGGAAACGTAATATATACTAAACTACGGATAAAAATTAAATCCCAGTCTGTAAGAGAAAGCTTATGAAAGCTTCTGCTGTACTATTACTTGCGATGCATAAGGAATCGGGCAATACGATTGGTGCACATGGGTTTATTTACAATTAATTACATTGCTTTTGTACACATTTTGGTTAGCAACGATCAGTCTGGAAATCCTCCCAATTATTTTTCCTTTTACTCAACTCCCTGCTTACCACGTGCTTTCGTTGTGTAATTGGAAGCACGACCGGCTTTCAAATTACACATGAATTCTCGGACTTTCGTAACCGAAAATTTTTATGTAAGTGCGAAAACAACCAATTGCGTTAAAGTTTTGTAATTGCGAAAGACACCAATTGGTCTTAAGTTTTGTAAGTTTAAAGAGAACCAACTGCAAAACATTTTTCAAAGTACTCGGTGAGTCCTTATGGGAGCTTGTTTCGGTTCTAAATAGTTAGTGCAGTTGGACAATGCCAGCGGTCTTCAAACACTGTTACTCGAAACCCAGGGTTTCGTGAGTATAAATCCCGGAGTTTCGCAAGTCCAAACGAAAATTCGAAAAAAATATAAAGCATTCACACTATTTCAGCAGTGTTTATTAACTAAAAAATGTAAATATGCATTTAGCTAGCTTTGAAAATTAATCGGATACTTCGCGTGTGGGCTGTCGATGTCCGTAAGGTCCCAATCGCATTATGTTTCGGCTACGCGGGACTTGACGTCGAAAGGGACAATTCTTAGAAACCGCACAATTCCAGGCAACCCACGTAGCTAGGTTGCCATTTTCACTTACCACAAAGACTTGAACGTCAAACAGTAATCGATTATCGCTCAGATTGGGATCACGTGATTCTTCAGAAGCAGAATTTTCGTCTGATTGGTTATCTCTACCCGGGACAGAGTTCCAGCCGAGACATTTTCGGTGAGGTTTGAAAAAAATCCCTCGTAGCCGCAACATTGTTTCCGTAGCTAGGCGGGACTTCGCTTCCAGCGGGGCTCTTTTTTCAAGGAATCCTTGCGTTTAAGCCAGTGCTGCCAGAATCTCGTTCCTCAGAAAAGTCCCGTCTAGCAGGGACTGTAGCCATATGTGGATAACCTCTTAACGCGACGCGTCAGCGGTGACGTACGTGCGACAGTAGCTCCGGTTTTTCTACCATTCAATCGACGTATATTCGAAAGTGTTTCTCACACAGCTATAAGCATTCTAATCCCATTCGGCAAAACATATTTAAGTGAAAATCTTTCTTGACATCTATAGCAACAAAAACAAAACATAGAAATAAACTGAATGCAGACTATAAAAATGACTCATATACCATCAACAGAGCTAGATTTCGACAGTTTGCGTAAAAAAATGCAAACACAGCCCTGTCACTAAATGTAATGCAAGGGAAGGTGACACCTGGAGCACGAGTTAATGCTATTAATGAGTAAATTTTGTGTTAGTATTTTTTAATTAAAATATAATATTTTTCGCTAAATTTGTTTACATGAAGTAGCTGTAACATGTTGGTCTCCTTTAAATATTATTTTGAGATATATTTTGCTAAGAGTGTGATGAGGTTCTCTTTAAAAAAGCCTTATCCAAGGTTTCTGTGAAGTGTTCATTGTATTTTAACCTGATCTGACCTTGCCCTGAGATGTCTGGATTTCGAGTCCGGGAGAGAAAACTGCACATGATTCCTGCCTCGATAAACCTAATGACTCTACATGACTCATTCTGATTTCTGGAAATTTTGCTTTCTATCAAGATCTATTACAACCCTTTGCTGTTTACCTGCAATTTTGTTACGTATATTTCTAATTAAGCAGTCAGATACATCCAGGAGTAGGAGTATACCACAGATTGGAAACCAATGAAACAGATAATGTTTAATGAACTGTTGTTAATTAATTACGGAAATAAGGGGAATATACACCATATATCCAAAAGATGGAAACAGCAAGAGAATATTTCACACATCTTTTCCATTTAATGGCCAAATCGCAAACCTATGAAATTTTGAAGAAAGCAAAGTTACGTTACTATGACAACCACATTATAAATATTATTCCTCCAGATAATTGAAATTTTGGATTAAAAAAAATGTACCCTTTGGTGTACGCTAAGATTGACTGGAGTTATCATTCTTTTCCGACATGCTGGCCGCCAGCTTATCAGTCCAATTCAGCCATCTGTCACAACGGCACCGTTCGAAAGAGCCCTGTGGGGCTTTAACTAATCATATTGCGGGATGAACGATTGCATTCCATTCGACTTAACCGCTTCCTTTCCTGAAATGAATATTTCGAAAGCGAAAAGAAAAAAAAAATCCTCTTGCATTAATGTTCCTTTATCGGCTATGACTTTTTTATAGATAAGAGAGAATAAATACTCTTAGCAGCACTGCCGTATCACTTCAATTGAAAAAACATAATGAATGCTACTTTTCCATTGCATAATCGCAACAGTTGGATGGTATGTTAGTCGCCGTTTGCTGAAGCAAAATACGTTTTCTTCTGTTAGCCCGATGAGCATTAGCACAAAAGGGCTATTAATTTCGTTTTAGCATTTTGCGCAGAAAACTTTAAATGTTTGTTCACTTTTCAAATTGTTGCCACCAAATATTATCACCCTGTGTTATATTTAAAGCAATGAAATTACGAAGAATCTGCATAAATGTATGTATATTTTTCGCATTGTGATAAAACAGCGGTGCCTAGAGCCATCCAATTTTGACTAATGTAATCCTACACTCGAACATGGACATCTGTAAGCCCTAATTTGGAGTTTGTTTTAGTGTCGATTTCATATTTTGTAACACTTTAACGAATTTTTGATTAAAAATCTCAACGATTTCAAAGCGAGAAAAGGCAATACTGTACGGAAAGAGAAATTTATTTCCAGTGCGCGAGACATTGTATCGAAAATTCTAAAAGATATGCTCATGCGATATTGCTGTTGAACTGAATTTTGTGGTTTAAGCGCGAAGAACATCATATTTAATAAATAAAGGTAACACACAGCATGTTAAAAAATGTAAAATTTGAAAGCTTTCCAATTTTTTTTAATTGTTATTTGTTATTACATTCCTTGTTGGTTTCGACTCAGAGGGAAAGGGCAGTTTAATAAATATGAGCAACTGCATAACGAATCACATAGAATTTTATGTGCTGCTTCCTCATTCATTAAACTTCAAAAAGCACATGAAGTTTTTATATATGTTAATTTAATTTTAAGACAAAATAGTTTTTGATTTTAACATTTATGTGCATGAGTCTTCTATTCATTCTATAAAAGTTTTCGTACTCATTGAACTACTCAGCGCAAAAGGATTTTATAAATATAGTGGTACTTCGGCATACGTAATTAATCTGTTTTTGATCCTTGGACGTATATCAAACCAGCTTTTCCAATAATGAAATGAAGGGAAAATAAATAATTCGTTCTTATAAAAAAGGCCCAATTGTTCTTATAAACAAATACTTAAAAAAGTCTTATAATAAAGTCTTATAGTATGTTCTTAAGTCTTATTCTATCTGAAAAAGTCCTGCCAGTTCTTATAAAAAATTTTCTATTATTTTCATCATTATACCATTGTCTAATAATAAAATACAAATGCAGAGAGTTAGTTATACACTGTACATAAACGAAGTACTGCACATAATGCTCTATATAAATGTTTTTTGCTATCCGTATCAGAAGCAATTTGTTTATAAGAATTTAACTCTAACAATTTATATATAAGAATTATATATATTATGTTTATAAGAATCTGACTGAATCTGAATTATATGTTTATAATAATCTTAATTATAAGAATCTTATGTATATTACATAAACAGGACTTAAATATACTGACATCTAAATATTAAACTGTAATATACTAACATTCCTTTCAAATATATCTAATGTGTTAAATTAATCGCAAAATAACTTACTATAATTTAAACTAAAAATACACAAATTATGAAAATTTGAGTTTTCAAAGAAAATTTATAAAGTTATTTTAAGGGCAACATAGGCCCTTATTTATTAAATTTATCCTAAGCGCATAAATTAAAATGCATATGTTTGTAGTAAATTATTACAAATTTCTTTTATTTCTTACTACAGCTTGACAATAGGTGGCGTTTCGTTTCTGATAAAGTTTGCAGTCATGGACATAAATTATTAGAAATTAACCTTCGTCACGGATTGAAGACGCTTTTCTGTCAATCAGGTTCTTTTCTTATTAATTTTCAACTGTAAATAAAACTCTTCACATCTGAATTATTCCCGAAAAATGCGATTATTCTGAGTGCAAATTTCTTAGCTGAGCTTATTAATTTTGTACAAGTAGGCATAAAGGTTATTGTAATCAGTACCTCCAAATCTTTAAATAAAATATAAATCTATTGTAAATTAATTAGTTCCATTTGTAGATTTTCTGGTCTGTTATATTTTTATCCGTTTTCAACGTAAATAAAAATAATATCAGCTCAGAATCCAAATAACTAAAATCTTGAGATCTTTGCAACAACATGTTTGACATAAATGCGTAATTGTAATGTCTTCGCAGGCCGCACAAAATTGCTTCAGGGGTAGCATGCGATCCGCAGGCCGCCAGTTTGATACCACTGCTCTAATCATTCAAATTCTCATCTTCAATACACAGGACAACTAACTTACATTCTGATGAAGACTACGGAAAAAAGAAGTTTACCTTTCAGAGATAAAAACATAAAGCCTTCATATTTCTCGATGAACCTCTCGTTCACTTTACGGTAGTATATATTCCTATCGGGCATATATACTACCGTGGCTTTCCCTTCGATGCATTCACGATTTCTCTGGACATTGAACTCTTACTGAGACAAAGTGTCTCAATTTTCTCGCATACACGTTCACGCTTCGAGCGCTTTACTAAGGACTTTTTATCACAAGGCCCATTGTGGATAAAATTGAAAGAACAGGAAAGTACTGTCTTATGCAGTAGAATGCCTGTATAAAACGCACAATATCCAAGTATCCTTCGTTGCAGATTGCTTTGCTCCTGATGAAGCACCTGATGACCTGTACCTGTTTGCCTTCAAAATCTATAGACTAAAATCTAAATAGCCTTGACTAAAATCTACGCCAAACACAAGATTGTTACTTGACTAATTTAATGCTGTAGGATATTATGGGCTTTACTGTTATGATTATTTTTATGAGATTTGCACTCTGCGAGCTGTTGTGATGTTGATATTAAGATATTATGAGATGAATGAGTTTTAAGGCATGAGTTGCTTACTTTTGCTATTATTTCCAGGGTTAACAATAACATCATGGTTACATTATACTGAAAAGCAAGGAGGAAAAAATTGCGAAGAAAACGAAGAACGAACAGAAAAGTAAATGTGGACGCACTAAGCTGATCAAAGTTTACGTTTACAAGTGATGCTTTTGAAAATGAGAGTAATTAAGTCGAGACTGGTCATTAACAGCATGTAATGTATTGGTATGTATGCAGCTTATTTAGTTTCATGAAAATTTGCAAAGATAATATAACTTTTAATTTGGATTTATTCTCTACTTTTCACTTCTCTCACTCTCATTCTCATACTGCAACAAGTTTTACGTGTCTGTTTATTCGATTCGTTAGAATCGGAGGCTTAGTTGTTAATACATGAAATAGAAACCTTTTTAAATATATTGCCAGAGTTTTGCTATTGAGAAGCTACAAAATTATTTAACGTCAGTATTTAGAACCATAGCCTGGCAACAGAATTTTACTGCTCTTCGTAAAACAGGAAAGAATAAACGAACTTCCATTTGGTATAGATTTTATTAAACCTCACTTTAGCATTTAAAGCCATTTTCGTTTTCCTGGACTCGAAATATAATTAATTCCATTTAATTTTATTCCTTCTTTTCAGCATCCAGTAAGGAACTCTGGCTTCCTCTTAATTGTAACAGTATTATATTTCGGAAGAAAATGGTTAATGAAGGAAATCCGGAATAATGAAGACATAATATGATATGGCTTTTACTGATCTTGGTATTAAGATGCCCCTTACTAAAGACGAAAAAGACATTAGGAAACAGCATAGATATAATACCTCTACCCGAAGAAAACGTCAATGAAATAGTAAACTGCAAAAGAAATAACATTCAAGACAAAGGAAATGTAAAAGGATAACTTCAGAATAATTAATTCCAGAAAAAACAGAAGGCTATACATAAGTTCACAAAAAATGTAATATAATACCAAAGCCACAAGAAAAGAAGAATGAAGAACGATGTTTTAGCTGCATATTTTAACTGTAGATCTAAAACTTGTTCGTTTAACAAATTGATCTGTTTCCAGCTTTGATAATCATAAAACGTAGAATTTTTATGGCTTTTCTATTTTTTTTATCTTTCTTTCTTGGGTCGATGCATAAGTCCGTGCCGTTTTTACCATGCTGTGATTTTATTAGTATGCAATACACTACAATGCGCTAAAAATGATAGAATACACACTAATAACACATTAATACGTCATAAATCAATAATCATTCACTCATTCACTCATTCACTCGTTGATGCACTGTCGTGACCGATAATTGTGGGTTCTTCTCATACCATATTCGGTGTCAAACATCAAATACACTTGTGCTTTTTAAACATTTGTAAATATGCTCTAACGATTTTTTTTTTTAGTTTTTCAACCATTCAGCGTCTTTCGCGTGATCCGTTTTGAAAAATACAACATAATAATCGTAATCATTACGCGTATTCCGGTTTGCTATTTCTTTTTTCCTCTGCATTTCGTTGGCGTTGGAGTCCTTGCTCTTCAGAGGGGGCACCAGTGCCTCACACCCCTCCAATCATGTGAATGCTCAAACAATGTATAAAAAAATACTTTACTTGAAATCGACTAAAGGAACAATATCTAAAAAAAACATTAATCGTATATTAATACAAACACAGGTATTTAAAACATAAGATTTAATTCCCTGTCACCAGCTGAAAGAATTTCAACAGTCAGTCCAAAGCCATTTGGCACTACCTTCCTATAGCTGAATCTGCTGTCATATTACTAATTACATCTTCATAATCTAATCTATAGTACTCATCTCAATTATCATCAAACGTTTTGCCATCTGGATCAAAAACTGGTTTAAGTTTAGAAATTGCGTTAGCAAATAAGGATTTCTTTCTAACCTTTATCCTTACTGTGTGAGTTGACTCAATCATTTCTTTCTCAAACTCTGATTTTGACTTTAAGAATTTGTCACCTCAACACCTGATTTTTCAGAAGCACTTTTTTAGCTGTTCTTCACCGCAGCCATCACTTTTACTTGGTCCTATCTAATGGTTCATTTTTCGTTATCGAGTTCTTCATCATATGGAAACCTTGGACATTCTTCTTCTTGAAAAGCATAATAATCATCATCAAAAAGCTCTTTCGTATTTTGATCATATTTATCAGGATCAAATCACTTTCAATATTATTTTCATCTTGGTTAAATTCATCTTGTCCATGCAGTCCTTTCAACTTTAAAAGTTTTTCTTATTTACTCTTGAAAACTTTCAAACGTTTTAGTTTTCGTCTCCTCTGCTCTTTCTTCCCTTTTTTTTTCTTCCTTTCAATGTATTCCTCTCGGTTCTTCTTTCTTTTATTGTCAATACGTCTGAGAGAATCTTCAGTCGTCCTTGGACATCACTTAATAAATTTTGAATCCGGCTCTTCAAATCGGAAATTGTACTTATGTTCAAACAGTTCTCGCTTTTGCATATCTTTTTTCATCTTTACTCAGCACTGCAATATATATTTTTTGATAAGTCGGAATCTCATCATTTTTATAGTTTTCTTTATACTTCTTATCTAAAATAAAATCTCTAAAATGTTTCTCATTCCCATCCAAGTTTGAATCATTCCAAAACTTCTTCAAAAAGGACATTTCATTCTTAACATCTTCAGTACTTACTTTTCTTGACATTTCCCCCATTTTAAATAATCAGCCTCGTCATCAGAATTAACAGGAATATTTTCATTAGAACCGTTGTATTTCACCAACATTCAGAATATTAACACAACTTTCAAAATTACCTTTAAATGCAATCAGTTCATTGTGAGAACTAACACCTAATAGTAAATCATGTACTAGATTATCAGCTGTAGCACACACGACTGTAACAGGTGCGCACACTGTATTTGGTTGTGTCACTGAATTTACATCTATTAAAGGTACGTTAACCTTCTGTCCCAATGCAGATTTCAGTATTGCATTTCCGCATGGCTTTTTACAATATTCTGGTACAATAGTACTCTTACTGATATGAGTGGCAGTATCAACGGCAACATTTAACACTTTATTACGAATTTCTACTTGTACCGAAATAAAGAATCAAAATAACTATGAATTCTGTTAGACCTATCCTTCAGATTCATTATAGCATCATTTTATATATTTGCTGTAAATAACGATTTTTGGTTTTACTACACTGTTTATCGATTTCCAGATTTTTCTTTTCAGAGTTACATAAAGATGTATGATGAGGTTGACTTCATAATTCACAATGAATTTTTATTCTGCAATCTTTCGCCATATGCCTCTTGCCGAAGCATTTGTAACACCGGCCCTTTCTTTTTAATTTTTCTCTTTTCAAGCCTATATAGGTTTCTGAACAATTTCCTGCGTCATAGGTTAGTAACTCACAAGATAAACATACTTTAGACACGGTCGATACAGTGTAAAGCTTCTCGTTAGTAAATTGTTTATATTCGCGTCGCTTCTGATTACGATCTACCATCTGTTCGTAATGGCTTGTTGGGTTTTAAACTGAAACTTGATTTTTGTACAGCCATTCTATCGTCTGTATTAAATGCGTCTGCTCTCTCTCTCTCAAGCTTGTAATTCTTTTCTGAGGAATTCTGGAAATTTATTTATACCGAAACGTGTCTCATCATCATTCATACGACTGTATTGTAATCTTAAATCTAATGGAATTACTTTAAATAAAACTGGGATCAACATATTGTAATAAGTTTCATGATCAACATTTAAAGAAGAAAGACTTCGAATCTGAATTTCTATAGTGTTGTTACGAATTTGGTATTTAAAAAGCTAATGTTAGTTCAATTAGAAATTAAATGGTTTTATTTCTCGCGCAGTGCAGCGCGTGACGAATATTAAAAGAAAGCTAAGCCGGAAAATTGAAAATACAAGAGCGCGTGCATTAAATAAATAAATATCTCTTTTTGATTTCGAGAAAGTACTGGAAAATTCTAGCACGTGATTTTTAAAATCATATAAAAGGAGGAAAACATCTCAGTTCGTAGTAGTTGCTTAGTTTGTTGTTGTTTAGAAAAACTGCTCTTGTTGATTGTAGCGAATTCGCGGATTAGCTTTCTTTAGCTGTTTTGAATTACGTTCTATTGGACATTTGAGTAGTTAAAAGATAACTACTGTGAGATATTGTAATACTGCATGATAATTTGAGAAAATTTAAGCATTTTTGTTGTGATAATAATAAATTTTTGTTCATTTTTCATCGGACTTGTGCATTCATTTCATAACGAACCCGTACGCACGCAACAATTTTTGGTGTCAGAAGTGGGATTTGAATGCCAATAACAAGAGCGATGGAAGAGCAATTAAGGCAGTCATTAGTGCTTTTGCCTGCATTCCAAGAAAAGAAGATGGAAGCTGGCCAAGCATCATTTAAGGAAGAAAGAAATGAAATTGGGCCAGGAATCCGTTAAGGAAGAGAAAAGGCCATGAAATTGGGTCAAATCCTTTAAGGAAGAAGAAAAAAATGAATTGGGCCAGGAATCCGTTAAAGGACGAAATGAAAGCCGTTCAAGCTGGTCAAGAAGAAATGAAAAGAGAAATTGCCTGCATAATAGGAAACCATAATTCGAAGCTATGGAAGGCAGAATAGATGCAGTTGAAAATAAAGTTGGGACAATTGAATTGAAGAAAAGAAAGTTTCTTCGGTGAAAGAAGAAATAGAAGAAAAGAGTTTCCTTCTGTAAAAGAACATATAGAAGAGAGAGTTTCTGCCGTTGCAACAAAGAAATGGATACTTTAAAGAAGATTCGTAGCGAACGGCAAGGGAGCAGGAGTGATGATTTTAAATTCTTACCGATGCCTGCTCGTCCACCTCTGAAGATATCCACATATGATGGGAAGACATCCTGGCAAGTGTATAAGACACAATTTTCTATCGTTTAGGCGGATGCGAATGGATGGGATTCCCAAACTAAGGCCTGTCCATCTCGCCGCTTCTCTGAGAGCCGACGCAGCGGATATCCTGCAGACGCTTCCCGAAAACCAAAGGTTAGATTTCGAAGCTCTTATCCGGCGCATTGGAACTGCGCTTTGGCGAGAAATGTTTAAAAGACTACAGCAGGCTTCAATTAAAATCCCGTCAACAGAAGCCCACCGAATCACTTCCAGGAACTCGCCACGGATGTTGAAAAGGCTGTCCCATCCTCGCCTTTTCGGAGTGCCCGAGAGAAACGAGGGAAATCCTGTCCCTGCAGTACTTTATCGATGGCATCCGGGATACCCGAAATACAGAAAGGCTCTACGAATGGCGGATGTTAAAGATTTGAAAAGTGCTTTAGTGTACGCCATGAAATTCGAGGCAGCCCAGCAAGCCACTCGTCGAGACCGCCACCCAGTGAGAGCTGCTCAAGTCCAGCAGCCAGGGGAATCAAGTCACTGCTCGTCTAGACGATTTAACTAGACAACTCAACGCCTTGAGACGGAATATTGGTGATAAGAAACCGACCGTTAAGTGCTGGAACTGCGGTGCTGAAGGACACATACGACGAAACTTCAAAAACACCCCAGGGCACGGATGTTAAGACCGCTCCTAGCAAGCAGCAGGGAAACTAATTAGTGGCCATCTCGTGGGGCGGAGGTTGCCAGATAATGAAAAGCCCCAGTTTAAAGCGCTTCAGATTTCTGCAGTGAGAGGCGGCAGTAATGGACTTTTCATAATAGGACATATTAATGGAGTTCCCTGCAATATGACTATAGATACAGGAGCCAACGTTACCATCATCCGAAAAGATTTGGCTCAACAACTTGGGAAGCAAACTTATCTGGACGCCGCCCTGCGTTACCCTCCAGACTGTGTCCGGTGAGAAGATCGATATCGCGGAAAAGTAAACGTTAATATCACGGTTTGGAAGTGCCGCTTACCATCACATAGCATATGTAGCAGACGTCACTGATTCCTTGCATACTCCGGATTGGACTTTCTAAGGAAATACAATTTTTCCTTGGACTTTAAAAATAATGAATTGCATTCTGCGTCTGAGGACATAACGTTATTTCTCGGAATTAATGAATGAAGAAGTTAAATCTGTCCACAAAATCATAGCACAAGAC